TACCTTACACAGATACGGAGATGGCTGCGGAGAGCAGAACTTTCATATTTGGGTGATGACAGGTACCATATTAAATTTTAAAAAAAAAATCCAGATGGTTCAGCTAATAGACTCACAGCAGTAAGCCCATATTATACCAGAGGGGACGAAGATTACTAAGAGAGAAGTAAAATGCCTCAGGATTAAAGCTCTAGCTGTTTTGTTCTACTAGGAAAATCTCAATGGAGCTGCATATTTTAACTTCAAAAATTACTCAACAAACACAAGTAAGGATGAAGGGAGAGAGAGTGGGGAGAGAGGGAGAGAGAGAATTTGGTCACAGAAAAAGCTGGAAAAATAGTTGGAGATAGTTGCACAGAATTAGAGGCACAGGATCCATTTTTCTACCTATTAATGAAGTGCTGTTATTACCCGTATATATTCAGCAATGCCAGAGAATTTGCCAATATTTGGATAATCACAAAAGCGTGTTCCATCTTTCATACTCTCCATGATGGTGGAAATTAGGAAGTTTATGTGATGCTATAAATCATCACTTAAATTTTAACCAAGGTATGTTTACAATATAAAGTTCATTCAAAAGTAGTATAAATTGGGCTTGATTCTCACAAAGAAAATGGCAATTAATCATTGTCTCTTTTGCTTACATAGGTGTGAACTAAGAGTGATGCAGGCATTTTCCACACTAGCTTCACACCTCACTTTGTTATTTTTCCTGTTCTCATTTTGGAAGCCCTGATTCCAATTGCTTTTTCTTTTTTTTTTCACCTTCTTTTACAAAAAGTAGAGAGGATCTCGTTACAGTGCCCAGGCTGGTCTCGGACTCCAGGGCTCAAGCAATCCATCCACCTCAGCCTCCCAAAGTGCTAGAATTACAGGCATGAGCCACCAATTCTGGCCTCTAATTGCTTTTTCTAATATTATATATATTATTTAATTTTGTCTACCACATTGAAATTAATTTTTAAAGGCTTAAACCATATGGTTTATATTTAGCTGTGGCTTAAAACATATTGCTAAATCCACCAAAACAGAGATATAGACCAATGGAACAGAACAGAGGCCTCGGAGGCAACACCACACATCTATAACTATCTGATCTTTGACAAACCTGACAAAAACAAGCAATGGGGAAAAGATTCCCTGTTTAATAAATGGTGTTGGGAAAACTGGCTAGCCATGTGCAGAAAGCAGAAACTGGACTCCTCCCTGACACCTTACACTAAAATTAACTCCAGATGGATTAAAAAATTAAACATAAGACCTAACACCATAAAAACCCTAGAAGAAAATCTAGGGAAAACCATTCAGGACATAGGCATAGGCAAGGACTTCATGATTAAAACACCAAAAACATTGGCAACAAAAGCCAAAATAACAAATGGGATCTAATTAAACTCCAGAGCTTCTGCACAGCAAAAGAAACAATCATTAGAGTGAACCAGCAACCAACAGAATGGGAAAAAATTTTTGCAATGTACCCATCTGACAAAGGGCTAATATTCAGAATCTACAAAGAACTAAAACAGATTTACAAGAAAAAAAAAACCATTCAAAAGTGGGCAAAGGACATGAACAGACACTTTTCAAAAGAAGGCATATATGAAGCCAACAAACATGAAAAAATGCTCATCATCACTGGTCATTAGAGAAATGCAAATTAAAACCACATTGAGATACCATCTCACACCAGTTAGAATGGTGATCATTAAAAATTCTGGAGACAACAGATGCTGGAGAGGATGTGGAGAAATAGGAACACTTTTACACTGTTGGTGGGAATGTAAATTAGTTCAACCATTGTGGAAGACAGTGTGGCAATTCCTCAAGGACCTAGACATAGAAATTTCATTTGACCCAGCAATCCCATTACTGAATATATATCCAAAGGATTATAAATCATTCTATTATAAAGACACATGCACATGTACGTTGATTGAGGCACTGTTTACAATAGCAAAGACCTGGAATCAACCCAAATGCCCATCAATGATAGACTGGACAAGGAAAATGTGGCACATATGCATCATGGAACACTACACAGCCATAAAAAATGATGAGTTCATGTCCTTTGTAGGGACATGGATGAATCTGGAAACCATCATTCTCAGCAAACTGACACAGAACAGAAAATCAAACACCACATGTTCTCACTCATAGGTGGGTGTTGAACAATGAGAACACATAAACACAGGGAGGGGAACATCATACACTGGGGTCTGTTGGGGGGAACTAGAGGAGGGACGGCAGTGGGTAGGGAGGTTGGGGAGGGATAACATGGGGATAAATGCCAGATATAGGTGATGGGGAAATGGAGGCAGCAAATAACATTGCGATGTATGTACCTATGCAACAATCCTGCATGATCTGTACCTGTACCCCAGAACCTAAAGTACAATAAAATATATATATATATATATATTGCTAAATCCCTTTTAACATTTGTTACATTCCAGAATCATATAACAAGTGTCCATTTGTGATATCATAGATAAAATCAACTGCCAGGGGAAGTTAATCTGTAACGGTGGTTCTCAAAGTGTGGCCCAAACTAGCCACTCAGCCTCACCTGAAGATGTATTACAAATACAAATTCTCAGGTCCCACCCAGATCTACCGCTTCAGTTTTTTATCTCTGCTTAACAGGTTACCACAAAACACACACATGCATTATCTCACAGATTCCATGGATTAGGAGTCAGGACACAGTTACTGGATCTGCCACTTCGGATATTCTCAGGCTGAAATCAAGATGGGGCTACAGTCTCCCCAGAGGCTTCAGGTTCCAAGTTCCCTGGTCATGGGAAAAACTTAGCTCCTTGTGGTTATAGGACTGAGGTCCTCACTTTCTTGCTGGCTGGCAGCCAGGGACTATTCTCAGCTCCTAGAGGCCACCTGCCACTCCCTGTCATATGGTCTTCTTCATAACGTGGCAATTTGCTCCTTCAAGGCCAGCAGGAGGTTTTTCTTACCAGAGAATCTCTCCAATCTGCTAAGATGGAGCCCATAAAGTAATGTAACGTAACTTAACATAATGCTGATGCTCTTATCACGTTTATGATATAATCTAATCAAGAAAGTGATTCCCATCCCATTCCCAGGCCCTGCCCACCCTCAAAAGAGGAGACCACCGTGGGTGTACACACCAGGGGGTAGGAATCGTGGGGGCTATCTCAGAACTCTACCTGACACACCTATCAAATTCGAGTAACCAATCCAAGATCCCAGATGATCCCCCCATGCCTCCCAACCCTTCAGCAGAGACTGAGAAACTGAGGGAGATGGAATCATTTAAAGATTCGGTCAAATGAATGCTTACTTAGTGCTCCCAAAGACACGTCTCCCCCAAAAGTATTCAGCCACCTTGAGTTTATGGGTACATCCTGCTCTCTGGGTAGGAACTCAGACTTCCCACCCTCACAGCCGAAAGACCAGATCAATCAAGGGGTTAATTATACAGATCATTTTCCTGGCTCCCACGGGCATAAAGGTTATAGATGGCTGCATATTTATGCAGCTGCTGTTAAAAATTCAACCGCAGCATTTATTTCAATGAGCTCCTTTGCCTACATGTTCAACAGATGCACTGAGGGACTACATAAAACATTATCTCTATTAGTTCAAATTTTCTGACTCCTTAAAAGCTTCTGGTAACTGAAGGAAAAATGCATCTGTGATATGTCCCCTGCCATTACAAATACATTCATTAAAATACAAACAGCTTGACAATACTAAGTGAGCATTAAGCACGTGCGTGCATGCACCAGCCTGCTCTTTCACTCACACACACACACACACACACACACACACGCACATGTGGCAACTTTTAAACAGCACATTATGTCTAAGACGTTACAGTTATCAACAGAACCAGGGAATATATCTATCAAACCATCAAAATGCCATTTTCAATTGTGATGATCCTTTAATGTCTTCCATGTTTTCTAGGTACCCTTTAATCCCACATGCACGGTGCCACCTGTGCTGTCCCCTGAGAACAGCAACTGCTTCCGCTCTACTGAACTGTATGTCGACGGAAGGGAGGCCAGAGTTCCTGGGGGTCCTTGGGATGACCCTGCCCAATTTCCAGCCCCAGATCTCCTCCCAGATCATGGGAGTTTGTAGAACAATATTAATTCATACGGGTTGGTGCCACCCGAATCTTTCCCAAGTCTGCTCTGGGAGAAGTCCCCACAAAGATCAAGGCCGTCATCAGAGAGGTTACTGACACAGAAGGAAGTTGCCTTTGAAAGGAGAATAAAAGACATCCCTTTCAACACTGTCTGTGGCAGCTTTGCCAAGACACCGCACAAAGTCGAGATCGCCTCACCTCTTCTGGAGTGCGTATGCTACCATGGGCCTTGGCTATTTAACCCAATAGACTTAGAGAGGGCAGCTGATACACAGAGGGCTTTTCTGGCTCTGCCGCCCTAGTATGATGCTGTCTCTTTGTAACCATCAAATAGTAAGTTGCCTCAAAGGGAACCATTGTGCAAAAGTGTGAAAGGGCTGGCTGTTAAAATAATAACCTGGCAGGCATGACTACCATGAGGGCAACGGCTTTGCCTAAAGCTGGGCAGTTAGGAAAAGGATTCCTCTGTGGGTTCAGACTCCCCTAGCACTGCGAATTACTGTCTGCCTGGAAAATTCACCATGAGAGAAGACCAGCAAGCTCCTATCTTTGGGCCCGGAGAGCCCCTGGCACTCTTTGTTGGAAAAACGGGGACCTTATTGTGGGGAGCCGAATGATTGGACAGCACCAACCCAGTTTCAGTGAGTAGGAGTATACACACCACACAGGGAAAGGAAAGTCCCCTGTTCATTAGAAAGGCTGGATCTGACGACAAGGAAGGAAGGGGCTGTCAGTAAGGGTGAGTGTGTTTCCCAGTGCTGACTAGGGTGGGGGCAACACTGCCCTTGCATTACTTTCATTTTGCTGCTGAGAAACTGATACCCAAACCGTTCACACCACAGCATGTCAGTGCAATGCCAAGACTCACGTTTGGTCTCCGAATGCCGTGTCCATTTTTCCGTGTGATTTTCCCGTCTTAAACGTAGTTATACTTCAGTCTACATGGCCACACGTTTATAGAATCCTTCTGAGGGCTTGAGTAAATGAAGACCTAGAAATGTGGAGGATGTTGTCCTGTAGAATCACTGGCTATCTGTGGGAAGAGGAGATATTCTCCAATACTTTCTTTTTTCTCAGACAGGGTCTTGCTTTGCCACTTAGGTCGGAGTGCAGTGACATGGTCATAGCTCACTGCCGGCTCAAACTCCTGGACTCAGGCGATTCTCCTGCCCCAGCCTCCCAAGTAGCTAGGACTTCAGGTGTGTGCCACCATGTCCAGGTAATTTTTGTATATTTTTTCTTTCCAGAGACAGAGTCTCACTACATTACTCCTGGCCTCAAGTGATCCTCCTGCCTCGGCCTCCCCAAGTGCTGAGATTACAGGCATGAGCCATTACACCCAGTCTCATCACTCTATTTCCAAAGTTAGGACCAACTCTCGAAAAACGGATAATACCCCTTCTCTGATCTTAGTGTTCTTACATGCTGACTGAGTTTCATCTAGCAGCAACATGTCTTAAACAATGTTGAAACAAATGGAACAAACACAGAGGCCTAGGAGGAAAGCCTCTCCGTGTTGGCCAAGGAACGACCTGATCTCCAGATTACATAAAGCAAAATGCTTAGAACTAAGCCTGAGACACTGGGACAGCTAGCCTTTCCTACTGCCTTCTTCTCTCCTTTGTCTCATGGAGGTTCTTGAAATAAGGAGAGAATGGAGTGGGGACAGAAGGGATAAATGGCTTCATTCTAAGCCCACAATGCAATTCCTGGTGCTACTGTCCTTGGGGTTCACCCCACTCAGGATGTTCCATGATCAGCCTCCCTAAGACAGCAGGAAAATTCCATAAACAGGGAATGGCAACAATAACTTGCTCTATGTGGACGCCTGGGTCAGGCTGGGTTAGACTAGCAGGTGGATTGCTGACACAGGCAAATTACTTGGCTCAAACCTTGTATCAAAAATGGCCCTTAGTGATGTATATTGTTCTCCTAAGGGAGTGCCTTAACCACTTTACAAGAGATTTGTGTAAATTGAGCAAGATACTTAGCTATTGGCCTGCTTTTTTTAGTAGACTTGAATTTCAGAAAAGAAAGAGCTGATGGTAGAAATTTCAGGCATTTTTTAAACATCTTTCCTTTCTCAATCTACCCCCAAAAGTGGCTTTTCATAGAATCTCCCTCTCAATGTCCCGGTAACTCTGCCCAAGGAAGCCGTCTTCCCTGCACCTGCCTCTTGCGGGAACTGTTGTCATTCTTTAATTTGGCAGCCTCTGTCTCTCAGGCTCCCAGGGTTTCACACTTTCTTGTAGCAGAGCTTTTTACTTCACTTCCTGCTCTTTCTCCTGCCCTCCCCTTAGAAACCCAGTGGAAGGATTTTATTTTTATTGTTATATCTATGGTCTCCATTCCAAGATTTTATTCTCCTGGTAAGAGCCCGAGAGAAAAATACTTGTGAGCACACCGGAAATGTCTAGGAAAGGGAAATTGCATTAAGTAATAAACCCCAAACTGGTGGGAAGGATTTTGCACTCTCTACTCCTGAGGGAAGGAATTCTGGGGGATGTTGTCTCCTTTTGCTACCTTTGTCCAATCTCCATTTCTGGAAACCTACAAAGGTGAGAGGAAGAGTAAATGCATTCCAAAAAGCAAGCTCATGTGAGTTTTGGTTTTTGTTTGTTTTCACTTTTCTTTAGAAAAACCATGGGGTCTTTTGGTAACTTGAGACCTCAGTAAGGATACCGTGTGAGCCACATCTTTAGGGAGTGTCAACTTTCCAGGGAGGGAGCCTAGACAATGTGATAGGGGAAATCTTAGCGTCTGCTGTTAACGCAAATGTTTGTCCTTCCTTCCCGTAACACAGCCATTAAGCGAGAAGCATCGCCCTTTCCCGGCCCACAGGTAAGAGGACCGAATACCGGAGCCCGTTTCCAAGTTCAGTCCTTTAGCGCCACCTGGTGCTAACTACTCTAATCACGCTTTTACCCAATAAACTACCTTTGTAAATTTCTTTTTTAAACTCCTGGCTCATGCCTGTAATCCCAGAACTCTGGGAGGCCGAGGCGGGTGGATCATGAGATCAGGTGTTCGAAACCAGTTTGATCAACATGGTGAAACCCCGTCTCTACTAAAAATAACAAAAGTTAGCCAGGCTTGGTGGCGTGCACCTCTAATCCCAGTTACTCAGGAGGCCGGGACAGGAGAACTGCTTGAACCAAGGAGGCAGAGGTTGCAGTGAGCCGAGATCGGGCCACTGCACTCCAGCCTGGGCAACAGAGCCAGACTCCGTCTCAAAAAAAAAAAAAAAAGTCCTAACAATACATATGTTTGATTTTAACACAGTGCCAAGTTCACATATGTAGCCAAAGTACAAATTAAAGGGCAATTTTAGCATTGCCATTTATTCAGTGATCTCAGGACTTTGGCACACAGAAAACATGAGAGCAGTCTTAGTTGTTTCTATTGTCGTGGCTGATGTTACCAAAAGAATTCGAAAGAGGGAAGTTAGGAAAATGTATACAGTTTAAGATATAGTACCTTTTTCGCCGGGCGCGGTGGCTCAAGCCTGTAATCCCAGCACTTTGGGAGGCCGAGGCGGGTGGATCACGAGGTCAACAGATCGAGACCTTCCTGGTCAACATGGTGAAACCCCGTCTCTACTAAAAATACAAAAAATTAGCTGGGCATGGTGGCGCGTGCCTGTAATCCCAGCTGCTCAGGAGGCTGAGGCAGGAGAATTCCCTGAACCCAGGAGGCAGAGGATGCGGTGAGCCGAGATCGCGCCATTGTACTCCAGCCTGGGTAACAGGAACGAAACTCCGTCTCAAAAAAAAAAAAAATAAAAGATATAGTACCTTTTTCAAAATACCAATGAAGTGCTCTTTATGAGGCACAAATAATATTTCCTTGAAAATCTAGTAAATATAGTGTTAGTTATTAAAGAGATTCTACCTTGAGTAATTAAACTTCTTGAGGAAAGCTAAGATTTCCCAACTTGAACTTTATCCATAGATCAGGGTTAACCAGTATGCCAAGTTTGTTTCTTTTTATATTTTAGAATATTCCTATAAGACAGTCAATGCCCATCCTTCCCTAAGAAAACACAAGAAATAATATAACTTTTTGTTGTTTCATAATTATCTAGGTGCCTTGAAGTTATCATTCTGAAAATAGAAGTATAGAGCCTGAAGCCCTGCACCTATTTGAGATGTATGTGTTTTATCATTATACTTGTTTCTGAAATTAAATGAAGCAAAATGTTTCTAAATTAAAGCCAAACTATCCTACACAGGAATGGACGTTATAAGTGAATCCATATTTGAAATTCTGACACATAACCAGTCCCAAGAACTGACGCCTGAGAGAAGTTGCTGAAGGCTCTGATCTGAGCTTACTAATGTGAAAATGGGGAAATCTCAAAAAACAGGTTATTGAGCGGTACATAGTTCCAGATGGAGCAGGAAAACTAATTCCGGAATGGTTAAACAAATACGATTGTAATCGAAATCACTTTTGAGCACTTACTGTCTGCCCAGCATCGTTTTCCGGGTTTGACATGCATCACCTCATTTAATCTTCACATCTTCAAGTGCCCGATGCTTTGTTCCAAATTAGCTCATACACAATTAGTAAACAAAAGAGCGATGTTTGCAACACATCTTGCAGTTCATACTTGATTCTTCCGAGCACATTAATGTTTTAAAATGATCTCACCGCCAGGCGCATGTAATCTCAACACTTTGGGAGGCCAAGGTGGGTGGATCATCTGAGGTCAGGAGGTTGAGATCAGCCGGGCCAACATGGTGAAAACATATCTCTACTTTAAAAAAAATACAAAAAAATTAGCCAGGTGTAGTAGCAGACACCTGTAATTCCAGCTACCCAGGAGGCTGAGGCAGGAGAATCACTTGAACCTGGAAGGCAGGGGTTGCAGTGAGCCAAGATAGTGCCACTGCACTCCAGCCTGGGCAACAAGAGTGAAACTCCATCTCAAAAACAAAAAAACAAGTTTTGTCACAATAAAAGAAGAGGCAGCTTGATAATAAATGAAGATTTGGGGAAAAAAAAAAGAAATTCAGAGTACTTTTTTTTAGTGCAACTGAAGGCTGGTTTAGAGACTTCAAGAATCACTGGGTCATGGCAAAGCATGGTGGCTCGTGCCTGTAATCCCAGTATCTTGGGAGGATAAGGAGGACAGATCACTAGAGCCCCGGAGTGTGAGACTAGCCTGGCCAACATGGCAAGACCCTGTCTCTACTAAAAAGACAAAACTTAGCTGGGAGTGGTGGTGCGTGCTGTGGTTTTAGCTACTCAAGAGGCTGAGGTGGGAGGATCACTTGAGCCCAGCAGATAGAGGCTGCAGTGAACTCTAATGATGTCACTGCAGCCCAGGGGATGGTGAAACCTGAAACACACACACAGAAAGAAAGAGAGGGAAAAAAAGAACTACTGAGTTTTCTGTCAGGTATATCCACTTGGCAAAGCTACAACTGCTGATGAAAAAGAAAGCTTCCTTATTAAAGTGGTAGATTAGTGAAGAGTAGAAGTACAAGCCCAGTGCTGAAGGTTGCAAAGGTTGATTGCCTGAGATTCCAGCTGCCAGTCCCTGCAGAGAACTGTTCTAGGACTTTCATTAGCATTGTTACTGTTTCTGTGAGTCTTCTGATTACACACTTCCACGGGTTTCATGTGGTTTTCCTAGCGCTATTTTTCCCATTGGTCCTGATATTTTTAGTGCATGATTTTGCAGAATATATTTTTTCAGGAATGAATAGATGGTATATGATGTTGTATATAACAGAAATGTATATCATCATCCCCATTTTACAGCTAAGAAAACAGCCACCAAGAATTAAGTGATCTTTCCAATGACACACAGTAATTAAATAATGAAACCATAATTTTAATCTACTGTGCCTTCAGATTCTGCCTTCTGATGGACTAATATGATATTTTAAATGAATATTAACGTATCTGGTAGTTTTTAAATGTGTCCACAAACTCTTTGACTCTCCTCCCTTCAAAAGGTAGATCCCCTTCCTAACATTGGCCTTAGCCATGATTTCCTGGCTATGATTTCCATGACCCCAAAAG